TATGAACTTATAATTGATTAAATTGGTTGTTAATTTTATAAATGGCATAATTCAGTATCGTTATAATTTATAAAAGAGTTATGAAATCCGCCTTATATTTATTACATTATATTGTATTTTTTGTGGAAATGGAAACACTCGCAGATTATAGTTTGTTCTTTCATATATGACTTGAATAAAANCATAATTCAGTATCGTTATAATTTATAAAAGAGTTATGAAATCCGCCTTATATTTATTACATTATATTGTATTTTTTGTGGAAATGGAAACACTCGCAGATTATAGTTTGTTCTTTCATATATGACTTGAATAAAAAATGATTTACATATATATTCTGTTGAAAAATTTTAAAAATTTAGATAAACTTATTTTAGTATTTTAGTAATCAAAACGATCTGAATTAAATTGCTCGAAATGGCATAAACTTTCTTAAAGTTGAATTATTTATGTTCCATGAAATTTGTATTCGATTAGTACATAGCAATGCAACACAAAGGCAATCTGACAAGAAAGTATTCTTTTCAGGAGAATACTCTACGGGTCACTAAGTTTTATTTTCTATTATTTTGGTATTTTAATTTTTATTTAAGTGTTACACGTCTAAAGTACATGAGTTTAATGGTGTTATCCACTCGGCCACTGATGGTCTTTATATTTAATTATGAATATGTAGAACTGTCTAAATGAGTGATAGTTTTTTAGTACAGTGATTGCTATTTGATTTATTGAATTCTCTATTTGCAGTTACTTTTATGTGTTGATTTGAGAGAAGTGGGTAAATAGAATAACATCATAAATTCAGATTTACAAGAAACTGCGTATTCAAGATACAGTATTCATTATAATGTCGTTTTCTTGGCTAGATAATTTACGAATGACACATCATCTCCCTAATGTTTAAATTGCATATCTATAATCAGGACTGTTTTCAGTTTGTCTAGTTCATGTGATACAATAATAATGTACTTTTTTGACACATTTTGAATGCAAAGCATTAAATATTTTAATTTTATTATATGAATAAGTATTACTTCTTATGGCTGAACAAGTCCATTTCTTTGTATTTGTTGCAGGAATAGTGTGGGCGAAGGACGGTTATCCGGTGATCAAGACAACGGGCTGCAAACTCATATGCGTGGGCATATCAGATAACAAAAGCTGCGATCGTTTTTGCAAGAAACAAGGAGGTAGTCACGGCTATTGCCACGCTTTTGGGTGCTGGTGCGAAGGATTGTCCGGAAGTACACCGACTTATCCCATTCCTGGTAAAACATGTAAAAAATAATGGCAACGTCTTTTTATTGTGCACCAACAGAAATATTGTAACGCTTGTTAATTGAAGTTAAATGAAATAAAATGTAATACCTTCATCTTAAATATCTTTATTATGTGATATTCAGTTTCGAAATATAAAAGCATTATGAATTTCTTTCGTATGAAATTATTGAACTTTTAATTATAAAAACATTACCTTATGCTTATCATTCTCACACTGAACCTACATTTTGAATTTTGCTAGTCTATTTATACAGTAGTGTCTCGATCATCCGACCCCCGATTAACCGACACCTCGGTTAACCGACCGTCTTAGTCTACAAATTTCAAATGTCCACTAGTGATATGGCGCTACAATATTTGGCTATGTCTTGGTTACTTTAATATTATTTTTACGTGTTTTAGCTGGCAACACTGGATCGACCATGAAAGGGAGCCAGTATTTAAACGAAGCTTAATTTTATAATTTTTAACAATACAATAGCGACGATTATTATTTTTTAAAAATTTTTGTTACGTTTAACATCGATGAAAATTCAACGCGCAATATACTAATAAACTAATATACTAATTACATGGGATATAATAATATACTACACTAATAATGGATTTTTTCATACTTTTCGGTTATCCGACTTTTCAATTATTTGACCAACCCCAGTCCCCAATTGTGTCGAATAATCGAGGCTCTACTGTATTTTCATTTTCTCAGCGTTAATGATAATTCCGAAAGAGGTGACCTAATTAACGAGTGTCTACATTTATATTTTTTAAAAATCATTTATAAAAAATGATTTTATTCATGTAAATTACAGGTGTAAATTGCTATACGTAAAAGATACCTTAAAGACTATAGATCTTATATACAGTCGACCCCCCTATAAAATATAGATACGTTCCAATTTATTAGGAATCCGATTTCTTACAAGTCGTTCCATAGCCCGACACGTGTCAAGTTTACGGACTACGGCTGATTGAAAGGTTTTCTTCCATAAAATTAATCGATTCTACACTAATCCGACTCAACATTTCCAAAATACGTATATTTTTTCGTAGTTTTATAGGAATCGTAATTATAGGGACCGTAATTATAGGGGGGTCGACTGTACAATACTGTATATGTTACCGCTAAAGCTCGAAAGTCGTTAATGTGTACATTACCTAGCTAATCTGCAGATCAACTAGGGTGATCCGTTAAAGTTGCTAAAATTGTTTCATTTCTTAAATTACCTAGATAATGTGCAGAGTATCTAGGTAATCCGCACATCACTTACTAGGCAGTGAAAATAAGATCTTTGCCACAAATAGGTGTGCTTGTCGCAAAAACCAATTGCTATGAAATGTCACCAATCTTTAGACTGCACTAGTAAGTAAGCACAATTGGATAATGTTACCTATGGTGAGTAAAATGGCGGCTTGTCTCTGATTCCAGCAAAGAGAAGAAAGGAAATAGTGAGGACGAACAGTACGTTTAAACCTAACCTAACCTATTCTAATAAATTGGTTAGTAATAATAATGGAAATTTATTAGACTAGGTTAGGTTAGGTTAGAACGTGCGTCCCCACTGTTTTCTTTCTTCTATTTGCTGGAATCAGAGACGAGCCGCCATTAACTCACCATAGGTAACATTAACTGCACAATTATATCACGCGATCACCAGGAAATGTATGATAACTTTATTACTTTTCGTCTCCAGTCCAAAAGTAGGGTATCGTTGAAGTTGTTTCGGTCCCCTCAGTTCAGATAGATACTTAAAGTTCCGAAATTCCATAGGTGGTTATCTATATAATAATTACCCTAATTGTATTAATATTTTAAATCGTTTGATTTTTTGTATGTTTTTTAATTGGTTGATGATTGATTCTATCAAGTAATTTGTTGACTGTTTGATTGTATTAACTTGATTCTTTAGATATCGAAAATTAAATAAAGAACATTATGTTAATTTAAGCGTACAGAAACGTTGCTGTTGTTCCAGCAAAGATCTTATTTTCACTTTATCGAGTGCCTAGGTAATCTGCACATTACCTAGGTAATTTGAGAAATAAAACAATTTTAGCAACTTTAACGGATCACCCTAGATGATCTGCAGATTAGCTAGGTAATGTACACATTAACGACTTTCGAGCTTTAGCGGTAACATATATACTAAACCAAACGGTTTCCTTAATTAATCGGGCTAATTAAATGCTATTATTTATAATTAACTTATTAAGTAATCTCGTACTAGATGTAAGCCTTAGGCGCTATCTTTTATTAAATTTAATAATTAGAATATACACTAATTAATTTAAAATATTCAGGAACAAAAATAAAAGCGATAGTTTCGAGTTCGAGTTCCGCTCTGGATGGATTTTTTAATGGAATTCGTTGAATTTCTATAATTTTCTACGTTGTTAAAACTTTTCAGAATATTAAAGACTTCTGTTTCGAAATGTTCAAGCGTACATTGATTGAAGAACTGTACAGGATTCAAATGTATATAAAGTGTTTGATTCTATTGACTTTTCTCGAGACTTTTTAAAGACTTTCGCAGATATTTTTAATGCTATCTGCTAGAAATTGCCTACGTAACTAAAGAGTTCATAAAAAAGAGGCATTAATTACTCGTATTATTTACATAAGTTTCAATTATATAAATCACTTTGCATTGATTGCGGGTAACGAAAAATGTGTGAGTGACTACAAGCAAAGATAAACTGCGCTGATCACCAGAAGACAATTTAAATACTTAATTAATTTACATAAACTTCTAAATATTTATGATAACAGTTATCATTTACTCTAATTACAAATCTTTCATTTACGGGCATGAGCTTGTAGGCTATATAGCCCCGTGGTAAAGTGGGACGTAATTGTCACGTAATAGCAGTTGCATGCGTCCATGATGGTCGTTACGCCGGGAATAATGCCTTCCGGGAGGACGTTTATAAGTAACTGGCCCCATTCATGCGTTACAGACGTGGAGAAAATTCCACGTCGCCAGCCCATCCTGGCGATGCGAGAATCAACGACCGAAAACCGTGTTCGGAGATTAGAAGCGTTTGTCCACTGGTGGGCCGTTGGAGATCTTCTGAATGTTTTTATCAAATCCAGGACTCGTTGGAGATAAATTCAATATTTTGAAAGAATTTTGAATTTAAAAATGAATAGAAATTTATCACAGATATTGAAACAATATTAGTATTACAACAATAAAACAAAATATCTGCTTTTTAACTTATAATTTAAGAAGTGTGCACGTTCGAAAATCGATTTATTTCATAAAAATTGCTATAGATCTTGAGAAAAAACATTGCGTTATTTTTATTTTTATGAACTAATATTTTAAAATTTCAAAAATGGGGACAGTAGAACCATACTGATCCAAGTTACATTTTTTTTTTATTATAGATTTTCGCACAGTTTACCCTGCGAGTGAGCGGGTCGGCGACCCCTCGAGTGTGGGAGAGCACGCGTTAAATTTTTTTTTTCGCGCGGTAGGCTCCCTTTTGACCACGATGTCACGTGACCGTAAATGACGTAGGCGAATTTTCAGGGGCTTATATCTCACGAAGAGCCGCGAGTAGGGGTATGGTTCCTTTGACTTTATTGTTCGCACAGGGGGCTACAGTTTGGAAAGTTTCCACCTCTTCATTCGTAGGGTAAATCTTACCATTGGCACTTTAACGTAACTGTAGAGCATATTGATAGCAACAAAAAAGTCAAAGGATCCGTTCCTCATGGAAATTTGTAAATAATGCCCACTAGAGGGCGTCCCGAGCTACTAGTTCATATATAACTTATTAAGAATACCTGCAATATAATATGTTATTTGTGTTTTAGTACATCTGAGAATAATGCAGAAATTACATATTAATACATGTTATACAAATATATTATTTTGTTATTTCAGCTCACATAAAATTCATATAAAGCATTCTTTCTTAATCAAACAGCGTTTTCCGCAATTGACACTACATCGAATCAAGGCCTCGTATCTTCCTTGAAAGTTGTGCTCAAGGTGGCATCATACAGAAGGGTGTAGAGAGAGTCCTGGACGTTGTCGAAGAGTTTCCAGAGGGATCTCAGAATATTCAGTAAGTCCTGTCAAATTTATACAGCATAAGACAGATTTAAATTTTGTATCGCACATCGGAAGGTTAAAACCTCATTGTTACTTACCACTCGCACCCCTACAGGGCCTAAATGCTTTCTCGCATTTCACGTGAAGAAACACTTATATAAGCGATAGATATAGATTACAAATAAGTTACAAAATATAAATGTTTCGATAGTTTACACCTATCTACAATATCTGAACTAAAAAATTAAATATTTGGTTAATAACGGAGCCTGGGCCACATTGCTGCACGTTCCTGTTTTGCATTCCTTCTCAAAATATTTACAATTTTTTAATAATATGAATTTCCTTGTTATAAGATATTGAAATAAAGACAATTTACAAATAATTCGTTATAATAAATTTCGTATACGTTTAAGTTTATAAGAATCCAGCAAAGAGATGCTTAACTTTTCAGGCAATATTCGCAGGCGCCATCTGTTATGATATTTTATTAAAATTTATTTTTTATATTTTGAACTATTATAAAATAGAAAAAAATCTTATATATATAATATAAATTTATTTACATTATAAAATACTTATATAAATTATTTAATAATATATATAAGTATTTTATAATGTACAAATGCAAACACTTTGAACTTAGTTTGAATGATTTTTAATTTTTATAGAACATAACTCGTTGAATTTGGCTTTATCAATTAATGGCGACAGATATGAAAACCCACACCTTATTTTTTATACAGTAAGGGTTCTATATAATTTTCGTTTTACTAAAGGAAAATGAGACAATTTTTTATATGTTATTGCACTCGCTTGTAATAAAACTTTAATTAAATGAACAGATGTTGTGATTTTATAGTGTCTTCAATATACGGTTTCAGGATAATTCTTTGCTACTTTTTACATTCATTGGCTATTTCTTAAGTAAATTCCAGAGCTGTCGACATTTTAATTCGATTGGATAAAAGTAAATACAGTAGAACCTCGATTATCCGGACTAATTGGGGATGAAGGTAGTCCGGATAAGGAAAAATCCGGATAATCGAAACAAATACTTTGATTTGTCTTTTAATGATAATACAACACGTTTTCTTTTCGATGACATATCGGTAATATTAAAAGTAAATACTGTATTTAAATCGTGATCAAATTTTCAAGAAACAAACGTTCGTATTGCATTTGGACTACTACTGACCAACGCTAACAGATTATCTATTGTTTAAAAGGCCCTCTGGTGGCGCAAGAAGACGGATTTTATAAAATAAAAAGCAGTTGAAACTGCATTTTTATGAATAAAAATGTGACAAACTATTTATCGTTTTATGATGAGTAAAATTTTTTCGTCGCGTTCGCGGCTTTTAAGTAATGCATAAACCTTCGAGGCGTGAGGCCCTTCGGACCGCAAGGCATAGGTGGTGGCCCACGTTGCCCATACTCTGTCCATACGCCGCCCTTGGTCATAGAAATGATGTAATTTGAATATAAATTATTTATAAATACGTATGTCAAGTTATATTTTTATTACTACGTAAAATATATTTAAGAGTTTACTACCACTGTGCCGGGTGAGACGTTGTTGAAACAAAAAAGTTATGCATTCATCACGTACATTAACAGTGTCGTAATTTGCCAAGTGCAAATCAGCAAATTCGTAAAATTTTTGTTTATTTTGAACAATCCGGATAATCGAAAATCCGGATAATGGAGGTCCGGATAATGGAGGTTCTACTGTACGTGGTTTTATCCACGTCAATTTTTTCTTTCTTATGACTTCCCGAAGTTATATTTTGTATTATTCTATCAATTTCGGATTAATGTATGTTTACCTTTATCAAATAGCATTAAAAAAACATGTCCATAAAGAATCAAGGATTATTTCGGTCATTTAAAAATACATCGATAATTCTACATTAAGATAAGTTTCATTATGTCTTTCGAGTTAGAAATTGTCAGGCCCACTATTTTCCTCCCAACGAACAATTGTTAACTACCAGACAGGAAACCCTTTGCACCCACATTTCGGAGATGTGTGTGTAAAAGCGACACCAGAATTGTTTATGTTTAATAAACAATGTCGTTTATATTTCTCTTTTTAGGAACGCCCATTCTAAATTTTTAGTAATACTTGTTAAAGATAATTCAAAAAACAAGTCAGAAGAAAAAAAAGACCCATTAGTTGTTATAAATCTCACAACATGCGAAGGAAAAGACGAAGGGAATGACTGTCGTTTCCCCTTTTTTTAATTGTGTTACATGCAGGTATTATTTCATCCATGTCACGCGGACGCAAATAATTCTTAATAGACAGGAGAGAAGGAGAATGATCAGTCATGCTTATTGCAAATTACCTGAACATCCTTCGGAACGAAATTACGATTGGTTAAAATGTAGAATAAAATAAAAAAGTATGACTAGTGAGAGACTTACTGAAGAACTAAGTGAAAGAAAAAGAAAACAGTAAAGTTAAGAAGAAAAGGAGAAAAAGTGAGATGAGACAGTGAAGAAAAAGAGAGTAGAAGAGAAAGCAGATAAAAAAAAGGGAAAAGAAAAAAAGCAACACAACATCTAGAAGAGAAGTTAACTCTTTCCCTGGTATGTTGAAAGTCGCAAAGTTCCGATACCCCCTGCTAGGTATCCGTGTTTTACAAATAGAAATAGGCTAATTTTCTCTAATAAATTTTATACTTATTATTAATTTACACTAAGTTCAACGATTGTGTTTCATTTTTCTATAATATTTTTTTTCTTTTTTTTGTAAATTAGTTTACTTGACTTTGCATCAGGACTGCGGAGTCGATTAAAAAGAAAAAAAAAAAAAAAACATTCGACTCCGACTCTGACAAAATTAAATACCGAGTTATTTTATGGGTGTAGAGGCACTTATAGGGAGTACCCTGCTCTGAAATCTGAAAGGAACTCGGGACGTTTACCCAAAACACTTTAAAAGTGTGAGGTAAGCAGCGGGCCACGGGTTAATCCCACAATGACCACTTACTCTACACAAGCTCGTGAAGCTCGATCTCGGCGTCGTCGGATGGCGGTAGGAGGGCTAATCGAGTGGGGAGGGGGTGAGGAAGGTGGTAGGTGCCGTTTATTGACAGGAGACAGGTCAACAGTATAACAAGCATTTATTAATTAACAAAACTAAGTTAGAAAACTACTAAAGCTAAATGCGATTATATTAAAGTATGTACAGAAATTGGCGATTATGTTCTTAGCTAGGTCTAGTTTCTAGTTCCGAGACAGAGCGCTTTTATAAAATCTACTCCTAAATACCTCTAGGTAAAAGGAAGAGTTGGCGAACGTCGTATGTATGGAAGGGTGTGGTGTCTTCTATGTCTTCTCCGACGGGATCACAGTCCTTGGCATGGAGATCGACAAACACAAGTACTAAGAATACCTTCCGTGTGCGGACGCCCTGAGCTTCCGGTGATCTCCTCTTTTACATCTTTTCGTGCGAGAGCCGACACGTCATCGACGATGACGGTTCACTCTTCACACTTAACTGTAAACTTCCTCAGTTCGTTGTTACAAACTCGGTGGAATTCAATATAGTTTAAATTTCTCGGGTTTTTCCGAAGTTAATTAACCGAAAATTTAGATGTATAAGCGGCCTGTACAAATCCGAAAAATCCGCGGTTCACAATAGTTATTATTTTTTATATTTATTTGTATAAAAAATTAATTTTTAAGAAATGTTTTATAAGAGGAAAAAGGGGAGCGATAAAATTCTACATCTACATTCTACAGCATTCGCACTTCAATTTTACTTTTCCAGTAAAGTTAATATACTAAAATTTGTGCGATCTAGCTACTTCAGCTCCCTTCTAGCCCCCTGTTCTCTCCGATATATACTCCGATTTATTGGTCTCAGTCATTTAGAAAAACAGAGTACCGTTTTTTAAAACTCTTTCCGCGCTGTGGGCACTAAGAGGGCGACTTGTAGCAAGCTCATTATGGTGTCCGACGATGCACACCCAGTAGCGTAGTCCTACCCTACACTCTCGTAATCCAATTTCTGACGGCTCCCCAAAACCCCACATTATTAAATTCCTGCAATTCTATACATATGGAGTCAAAAATAACACAAAAATAAAACAATGTATAAAATTTCCGTATATAAAAAATATATTCGAAAAATGTAACAACAGTTAAATATACAGGTTGGGAAAGAAAGTCACTTTACATCCTGTTACAGAATATAGAATGTACCCAAACAATGTACAGTACAGTACATCGAGCTTATTATTTAACGTGCATAACTTTGTAACCATTTCAGGTATGTCCAAAAAATCTTTCAGCAATCAGTTTTTTGTAAAATTCTGATCTTTAATGTGTGCCACATGAGCCCTTTCTCATTTACAGTTTCGCAGTTTCATTCAATATGGCCGCCATCAAGATGATGGCCGTGTGTGTAACACACACATCGATCTGTTCCCCTTGGTGAAACGTGTTCTTGATACGAGCGAATCAACTTTGGGTACGTTCTATATTCTATATCAAGGGTGTTGACTTTTTTCTCATCCTGTATATAGTTTAGATCAGTGTTTCTCAGACTTTTTGGTTCGCGACCCTTACTTTGAGAATCACTGGTTTAGATAATACCAAAAAACAGAAATGAAATAAGTAAACATTCAGTAAATAAAAAACAAGTTTTGGAAATGAAAGGATGATGTATAAACTAAGTTTTACGTGGAATTTTCGAAAAAAAAAAAAAAAAAGGAATGCTTTGTAAAGCATGTTGTGATGTCACATGGGAGTGTTTATGTCAAAACTAAAGTTTTGCCGATTGACAGTTTTAATAATAATTTTACTTTTTACTTTTCTTCTATTAAAATTACTAATTTCAGATGTATTTTATGTATTTGCAAATTAAAGAATACGAAAATGCATAGCGGATTAAAGTTTCTTTTGTTAACTGAACTTTGTCTCCCGATAAAAACATACTCAAGATTTAGTACTCTTAATAGTCTTAATTAAAACACCCGTGGGTTTTTCTGCATTTTTATAAAGTAGAGTCTGCCATTGAGATTAGGTTTCTAAATTGTGTAATAATAATATCTTATCGCAACAATAATATTTCTTAAATTATATAAAAATCTTACTATAATTAATGATATTTATTTTTATTTAAAATCATAGTCATTTTAATCTATAGACCTATATAAATATAAAAAATTATAATTGATGAAAATGATGTTATTGAGTCTATCGAATATTCACCTGTTCTTTTACACGTTTGTTAATGTGGTTGATAATGTAGTTGTACGGAAACTTACGTCAACAGTTTTCCATTTATTCAGTTTCGACCTGGATTCAGCACAACAGAGATTATTAAATGATTCATTACAGAACTATAGAGTGTTTCATAACAATGTGCAATCAAGTTCTTTATCTGCTAAAAATTTAACTGATAAGCTTATTAATAATTTATTCCTGAAGATTTACTTCTAGCTAGGGTCGTGTATTAACATTACGCAAGTATAATTATATACATAATATAATTATACTTGCGTAAAGTTAACGTATTCGCTACGCTTCGACTTTCCTCATCTAACGAAACAATATATCGGATATAACAATAAAAGATTAATAATAGTTATTCACTATAAATGAATAGTCATATGCAGTATAGCTTAGAAATAATTTATTAATATTAAAATATTAATTAATTATTATAAATTACTTTAAAAAGATATTATACTTTAATTAATACATTTTTAAAAATATCAAAAATATCTTACTTTTCTGAAGTGAATTCGTGAAGTTTTATGTCACATCCCAGTTTTATTTTAACATCTCATACAATTGATCAACATGGCATATGAAAACAATGTGTCACTCCACTATAGTATCACGTGAATGCATCGACGTCGTCACTATCTTCAGTGACCTCACTTTATAATATTAAAATTATTTCGATTAAACAATCCGAAGTGTTTTAAATAATAGTAATTACTCGATAACCGATAACGTTGCCCCCGAAAATATAATGACTAGAAAGGTATACTTGTATTAATCATTACCTTCCTATAAAAGCAGCAATTGGGCATTTCGCCCTAACTGTAGTAACTGTAGGCAAATCACACCCAGCCATTAAAGAAAGTAATTTTACGCAATAAGGAAACTGTATTTTAACCTTGAAGTGTTGTACAGTTAACTGGTGCCAACTTTTGACAAAATTATTCGAAAAATAACACGATAACTGCATACATGCTGAAATGTTGATATTCGGTATTGGTTTTAGAGTCAAATATAGTTTTATCGATATAATTATCATGCATTAGGAAACTCTTTTATCTTTTCCAACAAAAGTGATTTTTTGGGGGGAGATGGTATCGCTCTTGGCATGAAAGAATGTATCCAGTTTGCACAATAAATAAAATTTAGTTTATATATTTCATTAGTTGGAGTTTCGTCACTGATGCATTGATTTAATATTATCAGTAGAATTTAGACGATTTTTTCGTTTGAATACTTTATATTTTGAAGTTCGTCTACATCATAACACAATCTAAATTCAGTTTACTAATTTGATTAAATTTGATGCGATTACGTAAACTTTCGTATTGCCAAAATGATAAAATACATATGATGGATTTTCTTACGCTTTTCAAACATTGCAATCCAATCAATTCCTCGTCTTGACTTATATTTAATGATTCCCGGATTTTAGAAAAATTTAAATAGTGATTTACATTGGTGAATCTATGTATAAAATCAGTATGATAATCACTTACACCGATAAAATAAATGTTTTCATTGATTCCGTTCAATGCTCGAACGAAATCGATAATGCGAGAAACAGGTTCTCTTATATCGTATAAATTATTCGAAAAGTTTTCATAAAGAGAGAGAATAAGATAAATCTTACAATTTTTCGTTACACTCCAGTCATTCAAAAAGTCATTCACGTAACTTACCCGATTTTCGTAAAAGTAACGAATCTGGTAAAAATATACATATAACTCTTTGAATTCATACAACTTCAATAGACCTTGATACAAAGGAATATCTGTGCATGAAGCAAATATAAATTTTGCACGAGAACAAAATTGTTCCCAATTTCTTTTCAGTTTGATTTCTTTGTAAGCGCGAAGCATAAATTCAGGCGTGTGCATATGATCCTCCACAGCTTTTAACATCGGTTTGGGTAAAAAATCTTCTTTATATAATCCAAGTAAAAATAATAATTCCATACCATACCTAGGATATCGAGTTGAATAACCGATATATACTGATAAAGAGAAAAGAAATTCGCCAAATGTGCGATGTACAAAACTGTATGCAATGGTATTATCGCATTTAGAAAAGCAATCGAGAGTAAGAATGTCCAGTCCAATGATGAAATTACGTTCAACTTCATTCGGAAATAAAGCCTTTAAATCTTCTGATGTGATAGAAATTGACGATTTGTTTACCAATGCTAGTAACAAATTTTCTCCCACGAAGTATTTTCCCCTTTTAAACTTGCCTTCCTGATTAGTTTTTCTCACGTAACGTTCAGATATAAGAGTAAATATTTTGATGTATAAATCAGCCATTGTTTCGAGCTTTACAATTTCTGCATTCTCATGAAGGCAACACAACATATGCAGCATCAGAGGACATTCTGATATTTCTCTGTAAAAGTCGTTTTCATTCAGTGCAGAACAGAGTTCGTCGGCTTTACTTTTGTGTTCTTTAAATATTATTCGAATGTATTTTTCTTGATTTTGAGGAGAAAACCCTTCTATCGAAAACCTCATCTTCATGTCTTCTCTGATTTCTTCCGCTGCTTGAGGTCGACTCGTAACCACAATCGTCATTCGACGAGAAATATCGTAAGATTCTTCTCTTATAAATTTTGTAATTTTAGATTTATCTACAATTTCGTCGAAACCATCCAAAATGACCAAAACATTCCGCTGCCTGTCTTGTAGTTTCCAATCTTTATCCATTGGGGAGTATTCACGCATGTCATCGAGTATTGCATCTTTTACACTTTTATCGCCTAATTCTCGTAGAATTACAATAAAAGTTAACTGAAAATGTTGTAGGTAATTCGTAGATGCCCAATCGTACGCAATTTTCTTGCAGAGAGTGGATTTGCCATAACCGGGATCTCCTGTAACTAAAATAGTTTGATGTCCATCTTGTTGTATTGCGAATATATCATTCAGACGTATTCTCTGTTTTCTTTTCTTTCCAAATAAATCTGCCTTTTGTACAATCAATTCTACGAAATAATTTTTTAGTGGAAAATCGTTCCTTTTACCTTCCCATAAGAAAGATCGCATGTAAGAAAAACAAGTCACATATTTGTCCTTCATCTTCTGGCAGCAAATGTCGAATATTTCTGTAATTAAATAATAATAATAATAATAACAATTAATCGAAAATCCTGTTAGTATGGTTTACAATATTTGAGTGTTAGAAATTATACAAAAAATTCATCTCTGTTTATATATACAGTGAAACCTCGCAGAACGAGCATAGTTCGTTTCAGAATATTACTCGTAATGCGAAACTCTCGTTAAGCGAAACAATTTTTTCCATAGAAGTTAATGTAAAATACGATAATGCGTTCCTCGCCCCCAAAAATACTCATATATTTTATGTATAGCGTTTATTTAAAGAAAATTATACAATATACGTTGTTAAGGAGCGTAAATCATCCTTGTCTTTTCTTCTAGCGCAGAATGAATCAACCTGGAATGCAAATTCGATTTGCAGATAACAAAAAAAAAACATCGAAAAAATATGTCTCAAACAAAGAAACAATATGCCAAAGTGTATTTGTGGTGTTTTAATTGCTACGAAGTCATTAATATTTTTTCGCTTTATTGTACAGTATACACTGAGGATGATCTACATTCCCTCTTGAAAAACAAACTTCGAAGCAACACAGAATTACACATCCGATCGATAGAAATAGTAGAAATAAACATGGCCTCCTTGCAGTACGGTAACAGACAGTGTTTGTCGTTGGTGCAACCTATTTTGATATTTCAAATAATAATAACGGGTGAAGCAATGCTTTTAGGTTCTGATGAATCAGCCCATACTTCGTTTGTTTGTTTTACTAAGTTATGGCAACGCAACACATAACCCCATATGCCTAGAGGAATGCCTTCCGGAAGGTCTTTTTAATGATAACTAGCTCCTATTTAGGTATTACAGACTTGGAGAAAAGCCGGAAAACGCCACCTGGCCAGTGTGGCGCGAATCCATCACTAAACTGGCAGTGTTTAGGGACAGAAAACGCTTGGCCACTAATGGGCTGACCATACTTTTGGCTATGGATCTTCGATTTCAATCACACAGATAACGTGTGCAAAGTCTTTGTGCTGTTTGCTTCCACGATTATCATAGACAAGAAACAGCCGGATAGTTCTTCAGGCGTGTGACACAGACGTCGTTATTGTGCTCCATAAACTGCCAAAAAAAAATTTGTATATCGAGTTACCTAAGGCATAACGAGCTAGTCCATTGTGTTAATACATTTAAAATTTTTAAAGTAAATTTTCATTCATTTTGGTAAAATATTTTGTAAAAATTATTCTTGTTTCACTGGATACACTTTCATGTCGTAACGAAGTAATTGGTGCAAGAAAATTGGTTTATCTAGAAAACTGTTATGCATTTGGGGTAGTAAATACTGTTGTGAATAATTCTTTACATGCATGAAAAACATAAAAACTGCTGAAAAAAATAGGTTGAGTAATTCTTAATTAATTAACATTCTTAGAATTAAAAGTAGTACCCACAAAAGCAGATGTCGACAATATTATGAAAGAAAGGCGATGCCAAAAATCGCATTGAATTCATTTTTGTTTTGTGTAAGTATAATTTTTTACTGTCGATAATACAAAATATTTTGTACTTATATATGTTTGTTATTAAAATTTGATATTCACATTTTGAATTTTCTAAAAGCATATATTAATATAAGGTACCTTTGTGGCCCTCTGATTATACGTAAATTTTTAATTTAATCCTAGTGTGAGAACTCTCGTATAAAGCACTTTGTCTACTTAAGTAGTGTTTATTGTAATAAAGATACGCACTTACCGTCTCTTTCTTCATCTTTCTTTAAGGAACTTGCTTTCGATTCTGCGGAATGAATTTCAATTTTTGGCCCAACGTGAACTTGTGTACAGTTCTTCAGTCTCGTCGCATACTGATTACATTTCTCCACTGAAATTAATAGGTAATTTAATATTATTTTTACCGAATTATAATTGTACACCGTAATTTAATAACAGATAAATAATGATAAAAGTAATCTGTGCAAATATATTTGATGTTAATTATTTTTAAGCTAAAACAAATCTCCACACGCTTTTCGATATGTTTGTGTAAAAAGACAATAATTTAATGAAAGTAAATTATTGTCTTTAACATTTAATGCGTTTTTACTGGATTTTCCTATTTCTTTTCTTTTATTAATTAAATAAGACGTATAAAACCGTTTACCGTTTACAAGTTCCTTAAACATATTTTCATTTTGCGCCACTCTATGAGTTGCCTGTAATTAAATAATACATTTAATAAAGTGATTAAACTATTGTAAAGTACAGTCTATACAAAGTTAAATTAACAATATAAAGTCTACTTAATATTAATGCATCACTATAACGTTTTGAGGGCACTCAATTTGAGTGCGATTGACAGAAACTCTTCATTATCACTTTACTGATTTATTATGATAGATATCCATATATTCATGCGCTACGAAGGAAACTTAAATATAATTATACTTGAGTAACGTCTTTAGCAAGCGTAACATGATAACAGTTACCGTTTGAAATTACAGGAAGCAATTTGTCACATAAAATCTTAAAATTAGATGTATGTCAACACTTAATTTGCAGCATTTTAAAATTTTCCAGTTGAGAAGTTACGTGTCTCAGTTTTTTATACAAAATTAAATAAAATCTTCAAGTTATTCGAAAATAATATTTATGTTACAAAACATAATTCATAATTCAGATTTAAATAAAATTTATTTTTCCGACTTACTTCAGCAACTTCTCTGTAATTAACTAGAGAAACGACGACACTCTTCTCCTCACTCGAAGCTTCTGTTTTTGCCATTTCTTTAATTCAAATCTAATAATTCACATATAACATAAATTAAACAGATTCCGGCGGATTGCTTCGTTATACAGTAGACCCCCATATAACACGGTAGATACGTTCCATGTTATGTGAATTCCGTGTCGTACGAGTCACTTAAATACATGAACCAATCACAGCCCGGTACGCGTGCAAGTTTAGGGATTACGGCTATTTGACAGGTTTTCTTCCATAAAATGAATCGATTCTAGACTAATTCGACTAAACATTTCCAAAACACGTATATTTTTGGGGAGAAATAATCCGTATAAACTATGCTATAAACAAAAAATTCTAGGATTACTTACCGAGTGTGCACCGTTCGACGACGCCATTGCTTAAGCTTGTTTTCGTCGCGGAGCAGCGCACCAAACGGCGGGCGCGTTTTCTGATAAGTTATTTTTCTGCGAAAAATTCGTTGAACTTTAAAGACATCATTAATATAAATATAATTTTTATGGCCGTTGAATAATAAATGGTTTTTAGTAGGTCCGCTGCTCGTTTAAACTCAACGGTTTGGGCAATATCCGCTATTGGCCTAGATTCGACCAATCCTGTCGCGACACGAGTCGGCGATGACGTTTAACCGTATTATACGAGTCTCTTTTAGCGTGTTTCTACGAACACGATTGCAATTTTTTCGCAGTGTTATAAGAATCCGTATTATAAGAACCCGTGTTATAAGGGGTCTACTGTACTTAAATTTTATTAAAAATACGATATTAAAGTAAACATGTAAACTATTTACCTTATATATCACACTTGAATATAACTCTATGCCGATAGATTTTCAGATTTAATCTTATACGAGTTTTTATCGGGAATGTGGATTGCCCAATTATATACTAACTTAAGAGGAACAATACACACAAATTAATGTGCCCGAGATCTTTGCAGAACACGCATATTCCGAGGACCTGCCCAGCTTAAACACGACATAAAGTTTAACTTGTAGTAAAACTTTTATATTTTTCGTGTATCATCGATAATATATTTGATAAAAACTGCATGGATCCAACTCATCTCCGGCTGTCTGTCTGTTTGTCTGTTTCTTTTCCCGCTGTTTTAAATGTCGAAGGATTGTCTAGTGTTCTTTTCTAACTACCTGTTTATGTTTATGTTGAATTACCAGATATAATTGATGCTGGTTGTAAACATTTCTAAAAGTGCTATTTTCACAATGAAGGAGTTTTAAAAAATTGCTTTAATTTCTATATAAGAATTTTCTTTATTTTCTGAATAGTAGACACAATACAAATATATTTTTCTAGTTTTCTTCTTAAACTTGTTAGATAGATTGTGAATAACATAGCTTTAAATTACAAAATACAGCAATAGGCCAGAATTAAATTATATAAACCGAATATAAAATAAAATAGTAAAAAGTATTACATAAACTTTGCACTTTTGTATAATAAAGTGCTGATTTATTTAACACTTAATTATATGCAAACAGAACCAGAATTTCTGATAGAAATCAAATAATTTTATACACGTATTTTTTTAACACCACACTACAAAATCTTGTACATGTCTGTAAAATATTTTATAGTAAATTATAAATATAAGGTTTATAGTACAAACAATTCATTATATTAAATTTCGTGTACGTTTAAGTTTATAAAAATCTAGCAACGAGTTTCTTAACTTTCTCGGCAATATTTTCAGGCGCCATCTGTTATGATATTTTATTAAAATTTATTTTCTTTTATATTTTGAACTATTATAAAATAGAAACAATCTTAATTTTGAAAACAGGTATGGATTTCATATAAAAATTATAAATGCTCATAACGAGTAAGATCGTCATTAAGTCCAGATATGACAAGCGACTTTGCATTATCTCTCCTCATTATCGAGCTTTAATCATCAAAATTTAATGTCATAAATCTTCCTAATACGGAAACGTCCATGCAAAATTTCAGAAATTTACAACAACAAAATTCTAGAGTTATTAAGCTTCATACAGCAGAGTTTTCACACACACGCACACGCACAAACACGAACATTCATACACGCAGAAAAACAACCGGAATATTTTTATATTTCTCGACGTTTTAAGGTGTCTTAAGTCCAAAAGTGTAAAACTATTGGGGGGTCATTTTTTGATCGATCGCCTTACTTTCCCTCTGTTATGTATAACAGTCGGAGAAGTAAAAATTACTGATCTGTGCAAAAAACAAATAAGTATAAACGACAAAATACAGCAGTTAGATAAAGTCCTTTAGATTATGATATCATAATAACAGGTATTTTATACATTTACGTCTAAACGTTCCACTCTTATTGTTGACATTCTAAACTTTATTTAATCTTCGGTGAAATTTTGAAACCCTGCTAACTACAAGAAGGAAAAGTATAAGAACTTAAAGTTAACTCATTAGTTAGATCCGATCTTCCCTTATTCAACGAAAAATATATACATATAATAATAATAGATTCACTATAAACATATAGTAATATATAGCTTATAAATAGTTTACTAATTATTAAATATCTTACTTCTCCGAGGTGAAGATTTGTCCTACATCGGATTTCGTATTAACATTTCGTAAACTTAACCATTATGGAGTATTGAACGTATGTATTGACTCACTCAAAAATTGCGTAACTGCATCGACGTCATCGGTAAATTCAGTGATATCACTTCGCGATATCGAAAGTATCTTCTATTAGAGAATAAATAACAGCAATTACTCGATAAGCGGTATCATCGCATATGAGTAAATGGTGTATCTGTATTAATCACTGTCTTTCTGTCAAGCAGTTGTACATTTCGTCATAACGGTAATAACAACAGGCAAACAATACACCAAGACATGGGTTTTTACGTTTTTGCGGTAAATCGAAGATATTTTTACATCCATCTAGAAATTTTCTCAATAATCTCAAAAGAGATTAAACCTAATTCTATCACCCGATGATAACAAATAATTTTAATCTTTGTTATCATTGCTTTTTGCCCGAGCAAAAAGTAACGATAACAACGCCGGTGTCTTATGCTAGTAGGTATATATATATATATATATACTAGCTGCAAGGACCCGCATCGCTGCGTTTTTATTTGTGGGCAAAAAGTAACTATAGTGAAGATTAAGATAATTACATTATAGCCAACCTTACCCGTTTTCACAGAATGCAAGAATTAAATTCCCCGTTTCCAGACTAATTAGAGACCTTGTCCCGATTCTATTTCTGAACGTCTTCTGTTCACGTACAGTCAAAAGAACTATTTTCAACGTTTCTGGAACGTTTACAATCGTTCTATAATCGAACCAACATTCGAATTTTATGTTCGAATTCAAATTCGAATATTGTTCGAATTAAATTCGAACATAACATTTGAAATAGAAAACCACTTTTAACCACTTTCAGCCCCATATCTCCCACACCCTTATAGCTATCGAGACTCAACCCCCATAGTGCACGAATGGAGACTTGGAGCTACCACCACATAGAAACATCATTCATGTGCGATGTGT